CCCTAAGGTAACTGGCCTTCTGTTTGTTTTATTTGTCCCTTGAATTAAGAGATCAGAGAGTAGGTAAATACTGTTTTCCAGAAACCAGATCTATAATCTTTCTCATAGTCTAAGACTCCCAATCCTTTTCTGTCTAGAACACCTAGTACACAAAGGTAAGGCCACATATAGCCACAGATGAACAGATTAATGTGCTATAACTGGAAGTTTGCCAGCAGTAAGGAGTAAATGCTGTGTCTTCTGTTCCCTTGTCCCCACCTCTCCATTCCTTTCTAGAATGGTTTTGTTTTATTGATGAAAGCTCTAATGTAGGAGAGGGAAAAAAGAAATGGAACTTTTCAAGTATTTTTGCATTTCGGCATTCTTCTTTCCCATCCCCCATCAGTCCCATCAGAGAAAGATAACCATTTATCTCATGAGAACCAAACCAAAGGAAGTCAATAGCAGTGGACATAGTGTGGTCCAAGGCGTGATCCAGAGTAAAATCTTCCCTCAGAAGTGTGGACATGTAAGCCAATTAATGACATTGTAAGAAATTCTAAGTTTTATGGTTTTAAGAGATGATAGGGTTATAAAAAGCAGTTAAGAATAAGAATTGAGTACATGATGAGAGCTGTTACCCTACCAATGAAAGTAGGTAAAGAGTTCAGCATCTCTATTACAGACAGATGACTCTGAGATATGATTAAGAACCTTTAAAGTCCTTCATGTGCATAGGAAAAATTTTTAAAGGTGTTGGACTATAACAATTGAAAAATTAAAGCTCTTAAATGTGGAAATGTTAGCATTTCAGCTTGGGGGAGGAAATCTGGCTTCTTTTCTATAAGAATACACACCTGACTTATCATACATGTTTAATTCATAAATAATTCCCTTACACAAATCATTTTGTCCTGCTTCTGTTTATAACTTAAGTGTTGCTTGGTCCAAGGAACTATTTTCAAGAAATGCTAAATAGTTTATACATTTTTTATGTCTTTTTCAAACTTCTTCCAAATTTCCAGATTTAATGTTTGTAGAGGGTCTCATGGGAAATTTTTCCTTAATTTAATTATTTCTCTTGGTTCCTCCTTTATTTCAGCTTTCACCCACAATCATCAATGGTTTGCACAACATTGCAAGGTAAAAAAAGAAACGCATTGGGAAAGCAGAGGCAATGAAAGGTTACCATAAACCTTAATACTGGGAGTGATGGGTAGACGAAGCTAGGAACAAAGAGCAATTGAAGCTGAAAGCTAAGTATTCACTGTTTCCTGTGCACATCTCTAAATATGCCACAGTCATTCAAATTAGAGAAGTCCTCATAAAAATGTGGGAAGACTCCAGTCGTCCTTCAGACGTGAGTCAGTGCAAAGAGGTTAGGAAATAACATAGGTCATAAATTTTTGTTGAATTTAATGTCATCTAGGTTATCATACCGTCTTCCTTCTGCACCCACATAAGCCCTGGACAGAAGAGAACCACTAAAGGAAACCTTTTCCTGTAATATCTGTAACTAGTTGAGGGAGAAGTTCTAATATCCTATCCTGGTCAGCTGCCCCCACCCCCTGGGGTAGGGAACCTGTAGGTAGCTAGGTGAGATTAGCTTTGAACAGGGACTATTAGGGTTCCCCTCCACACAAGCCCATTTTAGTCAGTAGTTGGAATCATTTTTATAGTATGGCTTTCTTCCTGTTTTCACTTTAGTTAACATCCAAGTGACACAAAGTAATTTTGCAACACAACTTAGTTTGTAATGTTATCCTGAATGGCTTCATCTCTTCCTCTGTCTTCTGACACACTGACATTCCTTCTTCACACACACCAAGAACACATCAGCATCAGAGACACTGTACTTGCTGCTGCTCTGTGCCTGGAACTCTTCCCCTCAGTTTGCATTGCTCACTCCTCACTTCTTCCAGGCCTCTGCTCAGATGTCCCATTAGCCATCAGGCCTTTCTTTACCACCTCCTATTGCCCACACTTCTAACCCCCTTACCCTGTTAGCTTTTCTTCATGGCACTCATCACCATCTGATATACAGCATATTATTTATTTAGTATCCTTCCCCCACCCAGTAGAATGAGTCCTGACACAGAAGACTGTGTCCCCAGCATGGCACACAGCAGGCATTCAATAAATATTGAAAAAGTGTCACTTCTAAGGCTCTTACATAATCTATATCACTAAGTTAATCACATTGTAATTTGAAACCTTTACTTTTAGAATAGTTTTCTGTTAATATACTCCCAAGTACTAGGACTAGGGGATCTGGGGGGACTCCTTAATTTGGGAGCTCATTTTACTACTTTCCTCTTAGTAATTTTAAGTCACTGGAAGATGCTTTCCCTTTTTTCTTGGTGTTTTAAAGGCTCAGAAAGAGGCAGGATGAAACATATCAAATGTGGCTTTAAGTATATAAGTAATATTTTTGAAAGTTTAAAACAAGATTCCAGCTCACCTGTATATTTGCATTTACAATAACTGTACTTAGACCTTCCTTTCTGAGTACACTGACCCTGTGCTGCCTCCAGATGGCCCTCCTTCTTGAATGTGGCTTTAGTGCAGTTGTACACACATACCCCTTGTATAATGAGTTTGCAATCCCTGTGAAGTTCAGCAGTACTCCAGTTTGCATACCAGAAGGAAGGGTTTCATCCTCTCACCCTCCCCTGTTAATAGATTACTCATCATCTCTGTCCTAATAATCTTCAAGTTTCTGGGCCATAGTTGCCTACACTTCTTTATAAAATGAATCCATTCAGTAATATTACTGTAAGGTTTAATGATACAAGATAGGGCAAGTTCTGTGGATAATGTGCAAATATAACATACCTGTTTTTCCTCCCTTGCAGCAAACCAAGAGGAAACTAGACGATGCCAGCAAACGCTTGGAGTTTCTGTATGATAAACTTAGGGAACAGACAGTAAGTTTGTGGGAAAAAGAAAGATTTGTGATAATCACTTATTCCTAGTTGCTAGTAAAATAGGTATCTCCTTAGCACTCAACATGTGCTCTGCTTGGGAGCTAAATTGTGACCATTAAGAATGGGCTTTGCTCTAACTGAATCTTAAATTTTATTCATTGGGAATGAGGGATTAGGGTAGAGTACACGTGTGTGTGTGTGTGTGTGTGTGTGTGTGTG